AAAACGAGAGAGATCTCCTCACCTATAAATGCTTTAAAAAATTCTTTTTTCTCTCACTCAAATTTCTCAACTTAACAAATCTCATTCTAACCCCAACCGGGTTTGGGTTCAACTCGACTCATAGCTCGACTACTCAACTCTATGCTAAGACTCGACTCGGAGTAGGATGTCAACAATTCTCCCCTCTAAATAAAAACTTCAGCTCACGAGTTTACTGTTGTGAACAACTACGGGATACTGTTGTCCGATGGTGTCTTCAGATTCCAAGTTGCTTCTTCTGTCTTATGATTACTCCGAAAGAACTTATTACGCGCACCACACATGCAATGCTATTTTCCTTGTTCCGCAATTCCTTAGTTCTCTTCGCTCACAACGACAACTCGCACTCGGTTCTTCTCTCACCACTAAGTGAGATCCGGCTCTCACGAATTTCACAATTCTCTTCTGCTGATAACCGTTGATGGGTCTGATCTGTATCTCTTAACATTGAACTACACGACTGAACAGACATTATGAAATTCGATCTAAGGTTGAAGGTAAGCTAGGCGATAGGCTAATGGTCTACCCACGTTCAACAATCTCGTATGGGACCAAATGAACCTAGGGCTAAGCTTACCTTTCGTCAAACCTTAGGATCTTTTTTTCCATGGTGAAACTTTCAGAAATTACTTTATCAACCCACCGAGTACTCCATATCTTTTCTCTTTAAATCAGCATAAGACTTCTGTCGATTCACATTGCTTCTTTCAGCCGTTTCTTGATGATTTCCACTTTCTCTTCTGTTTCTCTAACCAATCTGGACCATCTTCTTCTCACTTGGCTCGTTCTGTCCACAAACAGGTGTCCTACATGTGACATACAATGCTTATATGGTGCCAATCTTATGCTTGATTGGTAGCTGTTGTTGTAGGCAAACTCCATGAGAAAAGGTACATATCTGTCCCAACTGCCCTTAAAATTCTAATAACACATGATCTCATCATGTCTTCAGGATCTGAATTACTCTCTCTGATTGGCCATCTGTCTGAGGAATGAAATGCAGTGCTGAAATGCATTTTCGTTCCTAATGCTTCCTGCAGTTTACCGCCCCAAAACTTCCGATTAACCTTGGGATCACGATCAGATATAAATGGATGATGGAACGCCATGTAGTCGACTATTTCTCTAACTAAATGTCTGCTAAACTTGTCCAAAGAATAGTCCATCCTGACTGGTAGAAGTGTGCGGGTTAGTTATCTGGTTCACGATCACCCATACGCATCATGCCTTCCGCCTTGCGTCCTGAGGTAATCCAGTAACAAATCCGTCGTGATCTGATCCCCACTTCCATGTTTGTGACTGTTATTGGATGAAGGCACCCAGATGGCAGTTGATGTTCTGCTTTTACTTGTTGACATGTTAAATCATCTTGTTACAACATGTCCATTCTTTCTTGCATGCCCGGCCACCAATAGCCTTTCTTCAAATCATTGATACATCTTGGTACTTTGCTGGATGCTTGTATATGGACTGTTATGAAGCTTCAATGCAGAATCTTTTGTCTAAGCTCCCCTATCTGGTGGTACAACAACTTCGTCTTCAAAAATAAGACTCCCTGTTATCCAATTTGGAATTTCCCACCAATTGATCTTCCTGCACCATCTGTTTCAACCCATAGTGCTGTTTGTGCATCTTTCCCCTCCCCCCCCCCCCTTCTGTGCCTCTGCAACTTCCTGAACCCAAGATGGCTGTACTGCATCTTGTTTGCTGGAATAACTCCCTGCTGTTGCAACTCCATGCTAATTCTCATTGCCTTTCAAAGCAACAATTGATTTCCGGCTAAGGGCATCAGCTACCACATTAGCTTGCCCGGATGGTAATTAATTGACATAATCATATTAGCCAAAATCTCTTGCATCCCACTCCGTGTCTTGGAATTCAAGTCTTTCTGTGTCGGTAAATAACTTTAAACTCTGATGATCTGTTGTAAATGTAACACTTTTGCACCGTACAGATAATGCCGCATAGACCTTGACTGCTTAGGAACAATGGCTGCAGTTCTAAATCATGGGTTGGATAATTCAATTCATGTGGCTTCAAATTGTCTGGAGACATAAGCTACCACTTTCCTGTCTTGCATAAGTACACATCCTACCCAATATGAGAGGCATCACTGTAAACTCAAAAATCTTTACCTGACACTGGCTGAGTTCAACAACTGGTGCTTTCAGTCAACTTTTTCTTCAAAAGTGTCAAAACTCTGCTGACATCTATCATCCATTGGAATACAACTGCTTTCTTCAATAATCTTGTTAACGGTGAATGCAATGATGGAGAATCCCTTTACGAACCTTCTGTAATAACCGATGCTAAACCAGAAAACTTTGAACTTCTGTAACATTTCTGGGCTGGTCTCCAATCAAACCAATAGCTTTCATCTTCTTAGGAATCCACTCTGATACCCCCGATGACACCACAATGTCCTAAGAAAGAAACTTCTTCAGCCAAAACTCACACTTACTGAGGCTTGGCAT